TCACAACTAATATCTAATTGTAAATAATTTTGTATTTCGTCCAGAATAGGATCAAAACTAGATGTTGATGGTGGTTTGTGTTTCTGAATTAAATTTTCTTTAAGTTTTTTCAAGTTTTTTACTGGTGAATTTAAACTTTCCACTGACAAATTACGTTTCATTGAAGTAGATGATGCTGTTGTTGATGGATTTGAATGTGATGTTGCTGTTGTTGTTATTGATGAACACGATTGTGATGATGATGATGTTGATACATTGTTTGTTGAAGATGCTTGTGTAAAATAATTGATTTTGAACTGTTTAATCATTTCAGATAATATTGATTCTTTTGTAGTATGACATTGAGTTAAATAACGACTTATATCGATTTTTAATTGAGATGGATCAAGTAAAAATGCACAAATATACAGAGGAGTCACTGGAAATCGATTATCCAAGTTTGCTGACAGTAAAACTTTTAAATCTTGGATAACTAATGACTCCGTTCCATCATTGTGCAGCAGAGATTCAATTTCCTAGAATAAATCATCATATTAAATATGTTTTTAAACTAAATATTATGTCAAATATATATTCGTGAAAATTATCTCGAAATCATAGAAGACATTCAGTGTTTGTAAGTTTCCTTTTCTGATCTAGTTTGATTATCATTACTTAGTATTTAAGAAAAGCTATTTATAGTTTTAATTTTAAATACTTACTATTCTTAACAGTAAGCATAAACTGATAGTTGGATAAGATTTTGATGCTGATAGAATAGTAGTTGTTGATTCAAATAAAGAAAGAAATTGAATTAAATCACGAACAATTTCATTTTCAGTAACAGTTAATATTAAGTCGAAATGTTTTAATCGACCGAGTATAACTTCAATACCAGGTATGTTATCGGCATAGGAGCGAAGCATAATCAAAACTGTGTTCCAACGTGTTACAATACGTTTTTTCAAGGTGTGAAATCTATTGAAATCATTATTGTTATTGATCAATGCAGAATAGTTGGACTTATATGTGTTTTCGCAAGCATTTGACCTGAATTTTAAATCATCTGATAACCACAATGCTTCTAAATTATCATTTTGAAATTTTTCATTCAATACTTGTGTATCATCAGCATCAATATATGTCGAAGCTAAATCTGCATCTATAATTTCACCAGCTTTATTAATGGATAAAAGTAAATCATTAAAACGTTTTTCATTCGATCGAAAATATTCATTTTCAAGTTCATGTTGACGATAACGAAGTTTGTTAATAATTGATTGAACTTTATCTAAGATTTCTGAAACGTAATTCATATTATGAAAACAATCCTTCATTAACAAATTGTGGATTCCATGA